AAAACTTGACCTCGTTGTCATATTTGATTTCAACTTTATAGACTAACAATTTGGTCATACATCTGTCATTTAATGGATAGTTTGTTTTTTTGGCAGTTGCATTTCTCAGTTGCAGAGATGTTACTGTTTTGTAGGTTGTTGAAGTGTTTGTTTAGAATGGAACAGTTGTGCTGTGATATATACTGGTTGATGTTTTGGGCACAACTAGCTAACTTTAATGTTGTTTTTGTTGAAAACCCTATTTTGCATTGATGAATGACTGAATTTCTTATGGATTAAATTGAAAGGCGACAGATGTAACTTATGTCTTTCTGAAAAATTAATAATGCTAAAAAATGTAAACAATCCAAATCACTTAAACAAGAGAAGTAAATTATTGAGCACCTCTTTGCATAGAACCAAGTTTTTTAATCAAGCACATTGACCCAGATTAATATAGTCTAGCCAAGCCCAGGGACCACAAATACTAGTAGTGATATTATTTATTATTATCATAATTATTTATTTTTATTAATATTTTTACTATCTTTACTATATAACTATTATTGTTATTATTAGATTATAATGCATTTAACATTTATGCTAATATTATTATTTTCATTATCATTATTTCTACTATATAACCATTATTATTGTTTTTATCGTATTTTTACTTTTAGTCTTACTATCAGTAATGTGTTTCATTATTTTTATTTATTTATCATTTTTATTTTTATGTTTTATTTTTGTTAGTATGTTAATTTATCACTGTCTATTTTTTTATTAATTTTATTAATATCATTATTGATTTTCGTATAAAAAAGAGAGTTACCCTACTTGATCTTCAAACTTTTTTTTTTATAACAGTCTGTTTTTAAATTAAAATTTATAATTCTTTTTTTCAATCTTAAATTTTAATCTGAGCCTAAATTCAAACCCAATGTTAAAGTACAATTTATTTAAATACTTAACAACAATAATAATCCTTCCTAACAATAAAATACCTCATGATAATCAGAAATATTATACAAAGGGTGTCACCACAAACTGAAGATTGTAAATAGCATGAAACTCTAAGTAATGCATTCACTGTAAGGTATTATGTATATTTTTTAATATATATGTATATATATACTTATAAAATTAGGTTAATGTCTATCCAGATACTGCAGACTATTAGTAATTGTATATAGCCCCTTCCCCCATACAATAAGGTCACTAATGTAATGGATGACTGAGTGAAAGAATATGAGAAAAAGAAAAATATTAAGGAGAAAGAGAGAGCAGTACAAAAAAAACAGGAGGTAAGACAATAATCAACATTGCATTTATATTTTTGAAGATCAAATTTCACTCATAAGTAAGAAGCCAGAAGAGAGTTCCACAGGCAAGAAGTTCAAGAGAAGAAACTGTTAGCATAGAATATGCAGTTAGATCTAGCCAATTCAACTGTAAAATAATGAAACCAAGCTGCCAATCTAGTCTTCTTCTATATACCATGTCCCTTCATGGCATTGGGGATTATGGCTCTCCACAATTTCCTGTCCTTTGTAACTCTTAATAAATTTCGTCTTTTCGTTATCTCTTCTAAACCATGCTCCACCATACACTTACTGAAGCTCTCTAGGTAGGTTATGCATTGTTTTCCTCTGTCCCTCTTGTCCTGTGAGTATCAGATTTTTCAAGCTTTTTCTCCTCATTATCTGCCCTAGAAATTTCATTATCACTTTTTGATGTTAAGTATAATTGTCCTTTTTGTTGCCGTTGTCTCTCAAACTTTGTTGTTGCTCACATGTTCGGTCCTTTATATCCTCGGCATCCTTCTGTAGAAATATATTTCTGTTGCTTCATGTCTGTGAGGTGATTGTTCAGCATTCACTGCAATATAGGAGGATTGGCATTACTGGTTTTTAATCACATATATTAGCACATATATATGAAAATTGTCCACTTTCCCTTGTGTCCACCAACATGCGATCAACCAGCAAATTGGCTGATCCGTGCCTGCAACATTTGATAAGTGTCAAATTCTTTGTCATTGCTCACATGTTCAGTTTATGATATCCTCAGCATCCTTCTGTAGAACTATATTTGTCGCCTCAACCCTCTTCATCTGTGGAGGATATTGTCCAGCATTCACTGACATATAGGACTGATATTACATAACAGTTCAGTACTCTTTTCTTGGTTTCTAAAGAAATTTTTCTGTTTTTTAATACTTTTTTTTAGCTTTCGGAAGGTAGCTTTGGCTATCCCAACTTGTCTTTAGATTTCAATGTCGCACTTTCCGTTCTCTGTTAATAACACTTCCCAGATATTTAAATTGTTGTATTTGTTTGATTTTGGAGCCAATCTAGTATTGCGCTTAAATTCATAAAGTCTTAATTTCATAAAGTCGATAAGAGAAAGAAGGAGGAATGGGGAAGCCTAGTCTCCATCTGTCTTTTAATTGAACTTAACCACAATTACTGACCCAAACATACCATAGTATACCTTACAGCAAAGCAACACATTCTTACTACAGTCACCATAATACCTCAAAGTCTATATGTAGTTCTAACTAGTTCCCATATGTGCAATTCGTCTGTAGTGGGTGGGGAATAAAAAACATAGAGGTTCACCAGAATATTTACTATGAAAGTATTTATAGAAAAGGCACTGTTAAATTATGTTATGGCAGTGGGAAAGTGAGTGAAGCCAAGATGTGGGGACAGGACCAATAACATTGCAGATCCTTTTTTATTCATTTATCTTCATGTATTCTATCAATATCTGTTAAAATGTCTCTCTGTGTGTATATGTATGTTTCTGTATGTATATGTATATATATATATATATATATATATATATTTCTATCTTTGCCTATGTATCTGTCAGACCACTGGTTTCTCAGCTGGTTGCTCTGAAGTGTTGGCTTGATTCTGTATAAAGCTTTCTCCACACTAAACAACAACATGCATAGGAACTTCTTAAGCTTTCCAAATAGTCTTTATGAACTTCCTAAAAAGACTCATTTCAGCAGAATGTGGTGCCTATGCCTTCTGAAGGCTGGCTTGATTAGTTGATTTGTTTAATGGCTCATTAACTCTTTATGGGTCACTTTAAATTTAATATTGTTGGAATATTTGAAGAAATACAAATATATGTCTTTCTGTTTTCACAATTGAGTACATGGTAGATAAAACTCAGCTTTTGTGCATATACATGTTTGTGTGGACATAATTACGAGAGGTGGTGATGTGTTTTATGTTGCAGTTTTATTTTGGAATACAGTTTGATTTCTTTAAGAAATTGTAGGATATTATATATGTCATGAATGAGTTCTTTCATGTTGGTTGGTTGGTTTTGTTTAGTGGCATATCAATCTCTATGGGTTTCAAATACAATTTTATAGCATCAACTAAATATATATTGAACGCAATTGTATGCTTTCAACTACGGATAGAATGTATTGCTGGTCATCTTACTTTAAAAGTGTATTTTGTTTTTGTTTGGAGGTGTTCACTATTTGCCAATAGTTTGGAAACCTAACAGGTGCTATTACCCTGAATCAGGGTGGATCTGGGAACAACAGCAATTCAGGGATAGTTCCATGCTCCTCAAAATCTCTAATCTTTCATTCAGGGAACTTGCTGCCAGATGTAGTTTATTGTTATACTAAGGACTAGGCTTGATTAGTCATACACATTGATACAATAACAAGATAATCTGACACTGTGATGTCCGACTTGATTTCACTTGCAATCTATAAAATATATTGCAGGTCAGCAGGTTGACATAACTGGCATTACAAGAGTTAGAGATATGGTGAGTGAGAGAGGATATGGAAGAGTGAAAGAGAGAGATGAGGGATATGGATATATGGAAGTGAGAGAGAGAGAGAGCAAGAGAGATACAGAAGCCTGAAGGTATATGAGAGTGAGAGAGAGGTATGTGAAAAAGGTATATGAGAGAGGTATGTGAAAGAGTTATATCAGAGAGTGAGAGAGGAATGTGAAAGAGGTATGTGAGAGAGAGGTATGTGAAAGAGGTATATGAGAGAGGTATGTGAAGTATATGAGAGAAGTATATGAAAGAGGTATATGATAGTGAAATGTGGAAAGGGGTATATGAGAGGTGAGAGAGAGAATGTGAAAGAGGTATATGAGAGAGTGAGAGAGAGGAATGTGAAAGAGGTATATGAGAGAGTGAGAGAGAGGAATGTGAAAGGGGTATATGAGAGAGTGAGAGAGAGGAATGTGAAAGAGGTATATGAGAGAGTGAGAGAGAGGTATGTGAAAGAGGTATATGAGAGAGGTATGTGAAAGATAATATAATGATTGATATTGCATTTAAATTTTTGAAGATTAAATTTAGCCATTAAGCATGAAGCCAAGAGTTCCACAAGCGAGAAGTGCAATAGAAGAAACTGTTAGCATAGAACTTAAGGTTACGTCTAGCCATTTCAACTGTAAAATGATGAGACCTTTCTGCCAATCTAGTACTGCACTTAAATTCATATAGTCTAGGTATAATAGAGTGAAGTTCATCAGAACAATTACCATGAAATATTTATAGAAAAGGCACAAGGAAGCTATATTATAATGGTGGAAAAGTGTCTGAAGGTGAGATGTCAGATCAAGACCAATAACATTGCACATTGTTCTTTGGATTTTATCAAGAATCTCTAAATATATTACAGGAACAGTAGTGCAATTAGTTACTGATTGTCCCAAACTCTGTTGCATCATTAGTTTCTCAGCTGTTTGCTTTAAAAAGCAGGTTTGGTTCTGTACAAAGCTTTATACTGTCTAAATGTCCTGCACAGTAACTACTACTACTTTCAGTATCTGGACTATTGAGTCATTAGAGACATTATCAGCAATACGGAAATAAATAATAAAGTTGGAGAAGTGGCTGTACTCAAATACAAATCGATTTTCTACCATGTGTATATATGCCTTGTATAAAGTTGTAAAAATGAAATCAAGAAAAAATAATTGTTTAAATTTCATTTTTATCTCTTTCAGAGTGGGCACAACATGAACAAGTCAAGTGGACGACTCTTGGCCGATGGTCGGTTACCGGCATTAATTGACTCTGGGCAAGTACAGGTCTACATTGCCAAATATAATTATGACCCCTTTCAGTTCTCACCCAATGAAAATCCAGAGGCGGAGCTGCCGTTAAATTCTGGTGACTATGTCTTTATCAATGGAGAAATGGATGAAGTAAGTTTGTTTCATTTTTATCATGACTAAAAAAAAAAAAAAACAACAAGTTTTCCTTTCTTTCTATTTACTCTTGATGTTGATCCTTTTCAGCATCTAATATTGGATGCAGAAGAAAGTTCAAATTTTTAAACTCACCTGTAATTTTTCCTTGGCTTTTTGTAGTGATCTTTGTAAGCATATGAATGTTTTGTTTTTTTTTGCTTTTGTCTTTATTTTTTCTGTTCCTTCTCTTTTTAGTTTTTATTTCTTTTTTCCTTTTTTTTTTATCTTCTTTTTTTTCCTTCTCTTCCAATAATGGTCTTTTCTTTTTTACTTCTTTCTTTTCCCTTTTCTCCTTTAAGCTCTTTTTCTTTTCTTTTCCTTTTTTCAAGCATTTTTCCTTTTGCCTCCTTTTAATTTTTCCTTTCCTCCTTTTTCCCTTTCCTTTCCTTTTTCCCTTTCCTTTCCTTTTTCCTTTTCCTTTCCTCCTTTCCTTTTCCTTTCCTCCTTTCCTTTTCCTTTCCTCCTTTCCTTTCCTTTTTCCCTTTCCTTTCCTCCTTTCCTTTTTCCTTTCCTTTCCTTTTCCCTTTCCTTTTCCTTTCCTCCTCTTTTCCTTTCCTTTCCTCCTCTTTTCCTTCGTTTTCCTTCCCTTTCCTTTCTCTTTCCTTTCCCTTTCCTCCTCTTTTCCTTATCCTTTTCCTTTCTTTTCCTTTTCCTTTCCTTTTCCTTTCCCTTTTTCTATCTTTTGTTTTTCTTTTTCTTTCTTTTTTATCCTTCCTTTCTTTTTCTTTCCTTTTAGTTTTTTGTCATTTTTAAAAATTTTTTTTCCTTTTATGTTCTTTTATTCATTTTCCTTTATTTTTTTCACTTTTCACATTTATTTTTGTCTATATTTCTGTATTGTAATTATTTACATTGTTTGAACTGTTGAATAAAACAACATAGATGAGGACAACAGCCTGAATAATGTAAATAGTATAAATAATTTTTCTTTTTCTTTCTTTTTTTAATTTTTTTCTTTTTTTTCTTTTTGTCTTCTTTTTCTTTCTTTTTCTGCTCATTTAGTTTTATTTTTTGTCATTTTTACTCTTTTCCTAATTTTTCCCCCCCTTTTTTTCCCCTGTTTTCCTATTTATCTTTTACACCCTTTACCTGCTTTTTTCTTTTCTGTTCTTTCTTTTTCACTTTTACCTTTTCTTTTTTTTCACTCTGACCCTTTTTCCTCTTTTTTCCCTATTATCATCTTATTGTTTCTTTTTTTATCTTTTACTATTTTTTCTCATTTGCAATCTCCTTTAATATGATATTTATATTTAATATATTCCTTTGCAATTCCTGAATTTCATTGTGCCCTGTGAGTGTTAAATACTCCAAGCTCTCTTTCCTCATTATGTATTATAGAAATTTAATTGATCTCTTACTGATTATTAGTCAGATTTTTTTTTGAAGTTCTCACATTTCTTAAACCTTCCTTGTTACTCACATGTTCTCTCCATGATATTTAGTAAATATACATCTGTCATTTCAAGTCTTTCTGCAACTGTGAGATGATTTTACAGTGTTAACTGCTACATGGCAGATTAGATACTGCATTGCAATTCAACACACATTTTTTTTTATTTCTAAGGGCATTTTCCTATATCTTAATACTTTGCTTCATTTCTGAAAGGCAATTCCACTATTTCAATATACTGTTAGATTTTTTTTACTGATAGCTCGCACAATAATTCACCGAAGGGCAATTTTAGGTGGAGGGTAATTTTTTTTATTATTATTCCACCCCAAGCAAGGCAAGAAAGCCACTAAGACACAGAGTTACCAAGTGTAACAGAATAAGAAAAAGAAAAACATTATTAAGAAGTGAGAACAATAAAAGAAGAGGAATCAAGAAGACAGTAGATAATGATTGACATTGCATTTAAATTTTTAAATATCTAAGTTAGCTGGAAAGCAAGAAACTGGAAGAGAGTTCCACAGGCATGAAATGTGAGAAAAGAAACTGTTAGCATAGAACTTATTACACTTAGACATTTCAATTGTAAAATGAGGTCTTGTTGCCAATCTAGTATTGTGCTGAAATTCATAAAGTCTAGGTACCATAGAGGAAAGTGTATCAGAACAATTACCATGAAAACATTTATGAAGAAGACATAGAGATGTTATATAATGGTGGTCAGAAAGTGACTGAACCTAGGATGCCAGGTCTGGATCAGTAATATTGCCTATTCTTCTTTGGATTTTATCAAGAATCTCTAAATGTATAGCAGGTGCAGCAGACAATATATGGTAGCAATATTCAAAGCATGGACAATGATAAGATAGATTCTGGAGAGAAAACTGTCTAGCATGATACTGTGAACAAACTTTCCTACCAGTAGACCAATCAATTGATTCAATATAATCTTTTCATTTCATCTCAGAGAATGATAGTCTGAGAAGGTACAATGAGTCACTCTTCTGAAGGTTGAGTGAGATTCTAAGGGAGACAGAAGAGTGTATTATAAGGATGAGTAGAATAGATATCAGTTGACTCTGGACTTACAGAGACCAAAATTGTAGTTTTCAGGGAAGCATTCTCTTGGGAGTTTGTTTCACAAAGTAACAGATCTGGGGAAGAAACTGAATGGGACTTGCTTTTATAAAAAAAAAAAAAAAACAAGAAAAGAACAGGGGTGATTTGCCACCATGAACTCTGCATAGTGGATCCTATCTGTCTCTGCTATTTAAATTTCTGCACCTACTCAATTTTGACATTATGTAGCTTCTGGATGTGTGGCTGGTGTAAAGGTTAGCAACTTGGAATGAGAAATCAGAGAACCAAGTTCAAATTCTAGTTGGGTTTGTCATGTTCACTTTTACACATATATCCTTGATAAATATATGAATCCATCTTTTCTCCCTCTTTAATGAGGAAATCAGACTGATCTTCTCAGCCTTTATTGGCAACAAATATAGGAGAAGGAAAAACTCTGAATTCCCAAACCCAGGCTGATTAGATTTCATTAGCATGGGAACATGTTGTCATTTTAAGTAATGAAAGCTCTCAACAGAAAACGAGCCCTCCCTCAGAGTATTGAGCATGGATCCAATCACACCAAACTGTGAAGCAATTCGATCACAGAAATCTCATCATGTTATTAAGATTATATCTACCAACAGTAAATCTTCATAGGACTGCTAATTCTCTTAGGAACATTTCATTGTGTAGGTTTAATAAATCCATTGATATGATACATCCATATCTTACTCCTCTATTTTTGTGTATTAATAAATCCTGGTAGGACTCCCACTACTTTTACGATCATGTTGCGAGGTGAGGGATTACTTGAATATTTTTTCCATGTAAATAAAGCTTTCCTAATATTTCAAGTAGTTCTTCATTTCATAATTTATCACCTACTTTGTGTAATCTGTAAAACATTGGTATAGGTCTTTCTGTATTTGTATTGCACACAATAATATCAATCTGATTATAAAATATCATTAATCCTAATTATTAATTATATGACTGATTAAACTAAATACTCAATGAAGTTTGCATTCATTTGTTCCTGTTCTCTTTAGTTGGGCTATCAAGATAGATCCATTGGGATATTGTCCTCACCTTTGTTGTTATTATCAGAATTATAACAACAACAAAGATGGGGATAATAATCTGAATGCAAATAATGTAAATAATGGTAACTCCTCATCCCAGAAATTCAGACAGAAGGTGATCAGGTGATAATAACAACAAAGATGAGGATATTAGTCTGAATGTAAATAATGGTAACTTCTCATCCCAGAAATTTAGACAGATCTACTGAGATCTTTTAGTGTTTTGCTGTTTTAGTGTTTTGCATTTTCCTAATGCTCATAGTATTTCTACTGCAATCTCATCTGCTTTTGCTGCTTTGTTTTTCTTCATCTTAACCAATGTCAATCTTACCTCAGATTTTCAATATTGCAGGCCCTTCCATGTTGTATAGCAAGTTCTAGCTGTAAAGGTCTGAACTGGTAAAACTAAGGCATATAGCTAATTTGAATATTTGACATGGAAATAGTGATAGTCATCATAAGCTTGCAACATTTCATCTGTGGTAATGAGGCTGTATGATTCATATCTTACAAGGCTATATAATAGCTTTTGAACCTTGTTAATGCCAGAAAAAGAGAATTGGGCATCTACAGCCCACATTCCATTTTTGGTCTGATCTGGCTCTTGTCAGGAAAAAACATGGCAAGAAGAGTCAGCTATTTTTTTTTTAGGCAGCACTAGGAACCAATTATTTTTCCAGTATCTTGAGTGATGGCTCATATATTCCCGTTGAGATCTGGGGTTCCAATAGATGTCCAAGGTAAAGAGCCCATAGGAGTACAACCGTTCATCATGACTGAAACAAAAATCAGGATCAGCTTGGTGATGATAGAATATTACGAGCTTGGTTTTGGAAATATTAAAAGTTACAATCTCATTTTTCCCCATTGAGTGCTAGATTGGAAGGTAGATAAACTTCCAGGCTCTGACTGTCTAGGTTTTTGGAAGTGCATGTAGTATCTTCTATATAAATATTTACTAATAATCTGGGTATATTGTTAATATAAATCAGAAAGAAGTAGGACCAAGGAGAGAGACTTAAGAATGCTGGCGAATAATGATGACCTTCATGGATATGATAGGAATAACTTGATAATTGAGATTCCGCAGCTGGAGAGTTACTCTATTAACTTCCAGATCATGTCTTGTGAAAAGTCTTTGAGATATCTAAGGTAATCAATCTCGTGAATTTATTATGGAGCTTTACACTGATTGTGCATGTAATTATGAGACATCAGCAGTAGACCTCACAGAACAAAACCCATACTGTTTGTCATTCAGTAAGTTTTTTTCTATTCAGATGATCAACAATATTCTTAATAATAGACACAAGGAATTTGCTGATGACACTAAGGAGGCTGATGAGGTAATATTGTGATGGGGGATGGGTGGATATGATCTCCGTTCACCCAGAAGTTATCTTAGGATGAAAAGAATGTAAAAGAAAGATTTTAGACAGTATTAGTTACTTTATATATATATATATATCTGAATATAGATTGAATCAAATATTTTATAAGATTTCATTTAATGATGATTTTTATTTTTTTACAGGATGGATTTTTTGAGGGAGAACTGATTGATGGGAAAAAAGGCCTTGTCCCGTCTAATTTTGTCGAAAAGGTGCCAGGTAAGTATTTTTACTAAATTTTTCCCTTGATCCCACTTCTCTCTCTCTGTCTGTAAAATATGCATCTACATATATGTATTGTCGGCCATATTTATTCCCCTTAATTTTTCAACCAGTTTGCTTGAATTTTTAGCATGTGATGGGCTGATTGTTTTGAGGAGAGGGGTTGGTGCACATCATAATACCTGCATATGTATTTTTATTACTATAACCATCATGTGTTTTTTTTTGTAAACAAATTAATGTCAACTAACCTAGAGATCAAGAAATCTTACTCAAGAAAATGTGCTTCTCAACAGGAATCAAACTTTTATTCCCTTTTTCCATCAGAGAAACTGCATGTTAAGCCAAAGTGTGCCATACAAATTATGTCATGTGAAATGATCATTATAAAGCAAGGTTCAATTGAAATCTTTTGAAGTCCATACAGAGCTAGCAAATACACGTTTTGAAAGGTCCCATTGAGAGAGGTGCATTTCTTAAAATAGGGTAACTGAACCTTCTTTTATCATGATGGTTTCAGATGACCTAATTCATAGGGCACACTTTAGAAGCAGAAATATATATTAAAAATATATATTAAAATATATATATATATATATAGTTTGTCTGACGATTGCAAAAGCATGAAACCCAGGGTCACAAACTCACATCAGTCCAACTGAATATGTTAGCTCTATCTCTGATATTGAGCGCTTTGTAATAAGTACCACGCATGTAATATATAAGTAATAATATATATAATATATTGCACGCACACACACACACACACACACACACACATATATATATATATATATATATATATATATATATAGACAAAAGGAAAATTTATCTTAGCTGATGGCTTTTGCCCTCTGAAGGACTTTAGCAAGACAAATGCAAGAATGTTGTAACAAGTAATTATATACAAGACCAAAAATGTTATTGGTTTTTCAAAATTTTTAAGTTTAGGAACAATCATAAATATTCATCAGGTTAACTGAATTCAGGCAAAAGATGGAGGACACAACATGACACAATTCAATATCTCATAAATGAAAGTGAGTGATTTTTTTTGGAAATTTTTTTTATGCAAATTAGAGTTAAATTATTTTAGTTTGGGATTAATCTGTGTGTTATATATTTTGGATAACATGTAGTTAGTCATTTAATCATTTTCTTTCAATTTTTTAACCTTTTTGTAGTCATGTATCTTGGCTTGGGAAAGTAGTAATTATGCTAGGAATTAAAATATTGGTAAAAAAAATCATGGGTGTAGATTTATATTTTGATAAGATTCAATAGCACCACTCTTGAGAATTTTCCTTCTCAGTAAATTATTTTCGCTTTTAAGAAGTGTGGCATATTTTAGATCAAAGTTATGGTTGAATTTATTTCTATGTATAACTAATGGATTTGATATATATAAAATTTCAGGTATAACTAAAATATATATCTGCAAAAGGACAGTATGAATAAAGACAAAAGGAAAACTTTTTTTAAGCCGACACGTGTCGTCCTCTGAGGGACTTTATCAAAGCAAATGCAAAGATTTTATTTTGAAACACATATTTATATACAAGAGCAAAAAAGTTTATTGGTTTTCCAAAATTTTTAAATTTAAGAATGCTCATGAAAATTCATCAGGTTAACTTAAAAGTTGAGGTAAATTATTGAGGATGCTAAGTGACATAATTTAATGTCTAATTAATGAAAGTCAGTAAATGATGTTTGAAAAAAACATTCAACACTATTTACATTATTCAGACTATTGTCCTCATCTTTGTCGCCATATTTATTACAATGTTTCAGCCGTTGTACACTTCGGCCTTCAGGTGGTTGGAATGTGGAACTGAACCCTTTATTTCGCTCACTGGGGTAGACTGTTCTAGTTCCACATGCCATGTTTAATGGATGTCAATTATCAGTTATCTTCTGTTAATTCTCCTCCCCAAGTTCTCCATTGCACAGTGGATAAAGGTGTTGGTTAGATCCAGTGACAGGACCCAAAGAGTGTGAGTTCAATACCCGGTTAAGGCAGTGGAGAACTTTCAGAGGGAAATTAACAGGAGATAACTGATAACTGACATCCATTAAAAACATGGCATGTGGAACTAGAACAGTCTACCCCAGTGATCGAAATAAAGGGTTCAGTTCGACATTACAACCACCTGAAGAAGGCCAGATCATACAACGGCCAAAAGGTTGTAATAAATATGGTGACAAAGATGAGGACAATAGTCCAAATAATGTAAATAATGTACGTAATACCTCATCTCAGAAATATAGATAGATAATAAAGGATTTAGTTTGAAATTCTAATCACCTGAAGACGGCTGGAGCATATAACGGTTGAAATGTTGTGACTATGGCAATGACGATGAGGATAACAGTCCAAATAATGAAAATAATGCAAGGAATCATAATACCTTATCTCGGAGATATAGACAGATGTTGTAGTATGAGGAGATGTTAAAAAGATCCCTGACCAAATTTTTAAGGTAGAAAACGGCTTCTTGGTCAGACCCTGAGAATTTTTTTTAACACCATCTGAAATTGTGCATAACTATTTACAAATTATTTGAATTGTTACATGGCATTATTATTCAAATTCATTCAAACAAAATGGTATCCAGGCTGTGTGAGGGGTAGTTTCAGATAACACTGCATGGCATGTGGAACTAGAACAATCTACCCTGGTGGATGAAAAAAAGGTTTCAGTTCAAAATTCCAAGGCCGGAGAATACAATGGCCAAAACATTGTGAATATGACAGTAAAGATGAAGACAACAGTCCAAACAATGCAAATAGTGTAAATAGTTACAATACCTCATCTCAGAAATATAGACATATCCTGAAGAAGGCCAGAGCATACAATGGCCATAATGTTGTCAATATGACAGTAAAGATGAAGACAGTAGTCTGAACAATCAGTAAAAAGGATAATAAAGAAGTAGTATTTAAATTTATTACTGGGATTATTAATTTTCAATACACCCATCATCATTATGCATAGACAGGGTAATATGATTCTGTAGATCGTGAAAATGATTTTGCTGCTGATTGTCAGTAATACCTTCAATCATGTCAGTTCTCTTAGATGGCAATGTAATGATGTTTAATGAATAAAGGTTTAGTTGAATAAACAGTATTCAATCATGTTTTCTTAGATATAAAGAGAATCCAACTTTTCAGATATAAAGTCAAACAGTAATACCTTCAATCATGTCAGTTCTCTTAGATGGCAATGCCTGTAATGATCAAGGTTTAGTTGAATAAACATTACTTTTCAGATATAAAGAGCTCCAATGTAGTCAAACAGTAATACCTTCAATAATGGCAATGCCTGTAATGATCCTTCAATCATTTCAGATTCTCTTAGATGGCAAATGCAGTTCTCTTAATAATGATCAAGGTTTAGTTGAATAAACATTACTTTTCAGATATAAAGAGATCCAATGTAGTCAAACAGTAATACCTTCAATCATGTCAGTTCTCTTAGATGGCAATGCCTGTAATGATCAAGGTTTAGTTGAATAAACATTAGATATAAAGAGCTCCAATGTTCAAACAGATATTCAAAGAGTTCTCTTAGATGGCAATGTAATGAGTCAAGGTTTAGTTGAATAAACATAACTTTTCAGATATAAAGAGCTCCAATGTAGTCAAACAGTAATACCTTCAATCATGTCAGTTCTCTTAGATGGCAATGCCTGTAATGATCAAGGTTTAGTTGAATAAACATTACTTTTCAGATATAAAGAGCTCCAATGTAGTCAAACAGTAATACCTTCAATCATGTCAGTTCTCTTAGATGGCAAATAATGATCAAGGTTTAGTTGAATAAACATTACTTTTCAGATATAAAGAGCTCCAATGTAGTCGAACAATAATTCTGCAAGAAGAGACATTTTGAAGTTTCAAGAAATTGAAAAAATAAGTAAAACAAATAATAAATAAATTTTCTGAAGACAAAAAAATAAAAATATATTTCACACAAAATAAAAATCATACATAATCAAGCTTTCTTATCCTTTTTACTGATTGTTTCTATCGTATAATATTATAAAACTACAAGTAAATTAAATTGCACACTGGCTTTATGGACAAGCTTATAATTTTAGTTTATATATGTGATTCTAGTAAATATATAAAACCATTTAGAAAGCTTCTATTTCAACATATTTTGCTGATGAATTGATGTCATTAGAAAAATTATTTTAACTTAAATTTATAGCTCATGACATTTTCAAATAATCTTTGTCAGAGTGAAACGATTCACAAATTCATTTATTTATTTAACTGGTGAATGCCTGGCCAAAACTTTGATCACAAAGGTTCTGGTGATGTCTGAGTAAATTGAGCATGTTGTTAAATTTTAACCAATTTCAAGGTTTGCATGTTTTTTTTATTAAATTTGGAATGATAATAAATGTTCACGTATCTCTACTCTGAATTTTGTGGATTTATTAATTTGTCTTCTGCAGGTTATTTAAAGCCAGAAAATATTTCTACATTATAAGAAGTTTTTGAAGATAATAATTTACTAATTAACCCATAGGTGGGGGAGAAGACATAGATTCATGCGTTTCCCAATGGTATTTGCGCATAAGGGAATTTAATAAACCTGACTAGATGGATAGAATAAATGGGTTGCAGAACAGGGTTTAGGAAAGATGGCAAAAAGACAATTTTATTATGAGCTACAAAGGACAAGAAATTGTGGAGAGCCATGATCATCAATGTTTTGAAGTGATAAAGCACATAGAAAAAGAAAAAGCAATACATGACTCCAAAAATTAAATTAAGAAAACTGCTATATGAGGTGAGAAAAAAATGGCTTTTTGTTTTCATCTAACCAGGTTTTTAATCCAGTTAGTTTTGTCCAACTGGATAATTCCTAATTTCTTTTTGTTTTTTATTCTGCAAAAGGCTCAAGAGCCATTCAAAGTAGAGGGTTACTGAGTAAGGTCTGTGATATGAAAGTAAGAGGTACAACTAGAAAGCAAAGATTCTAA